ACTTCAGTGTTGCTAACGCTAACACTGCGCTAAAAAAAAAGAGCCGTTGTGGATCAGGGAACACAGAGCATCTTGTCTCCTTTAGGTTGCGGCACACATTTGACAACGCCGTCCCAAAATTATTATTGTATTTTCACAAAACCACCACTGAATGAGCTGCTCTTSATATTCTTTAGTCGGRTYTATTAACACCATCTTTATTTCTGGGTCTGTGCTCTGTCCTGCCCCCCGTCATTTCTGTCCAATGGGATCAATGACCGTCACCTGCGTGGCTTTGTTTATAAATTATAGTCCACTCGCAAAAKGCACAATGTGAATGCAAACRGCACCAAAGGYGGAAAAAAATAAAGTCTGCTATTTGYTCCAGACCAAACAAGATGATGAATCCACTCTAAAAAACCACCCACCAGGCCTGAATGACCTCTGMTAACCATCCTGCTGTGCAACATGTTGGTGCGGGGCGCTGAGGCAGCASAGACGAYGCAGAATAGAAACCAGTGACGAAGTGGTGAGAAAACAACCATCAGACTTCACTACCAGGAAAGATCTGAGGATCTTTCTGCCTRGGCTGATAAAAGTTTCCACTTTCAGTCGCAGGGAGAAGTCAGCGTAAAACAAACAAAGAGGAGCTCTGCTCGTTTCAGTAGTTTGGCAATCTATGAGATCATCTGCAGCAGCTTTTTYAACTTTTACTGGTTTAAATAAAACATGAAAATCACTTGAATATTAAAAACTATGAAAAAAAGACAGAAAGAAACCGTTTTTAGCTCCTTTAACAAACTATAAAATGTGATAAACTACAAAATCCACCGTCTGTTTCAGTCACACAAACTACTGCAGTCATTTCCTGATGGTGTTTGAGAACGTCCTCGTGGAGCTTCTCCTCACCTGGCACAGAGTAGCTGCTGGGAGAGGGGAAGCGCTCGCTGTCCGACAGTCCGTTCCGCAGCCAGTGGATCTCGACGGGTTCAGGAGGACCGACGGCMCGACACGACAGCGTGAACGGGGCGTTCTTTGTAACGTTCAGGTCCTCGGGCTGCTGGGTAAACGTCGGCAGACCTGGAAAAAAAGATCAAAACGGTGGAAAAGGCTCAGAAAATGAAACGCTAACGGAAAAGATCGTGARGCTGTTTTTATTACGAAGCTCACCTTCCACGTCGACCGTGATCGGCCTCGACTTCTTCACCTCTCCGTTGATGCTTAGGGTGCACAGGTACACTCCTGCGTGCGCCCGCTGCACCTGGCTGATGCTGAAACGCAAGCACACAGGGACTCATCGCTCTCCGTTCTGTTTGTAATTTGCCTTTCACGCTCGTATTTGAAAGCTACGTACATGACGGTGGAAAGGATCGTCGTGACTCCATCGGTGGTGGTCTTCAGGTCATTGGTGTGAACGCTGACGGGCAGTTCCGTCCCGTCCTTCTTCCAGACGATGGTGGGCCCCAGCTCTGTCACGGGGATGTCGATGGAGCAGTTGAACTTGGCGTCCTGTCCCTCTGACAGCAGCATGGAGCTGATCGTGGGCTTGAAGTGCAGCCGGCTCAGCTGCTCTTCGCTCAGGTGAACCCGGCGTGGGATCATGACAGGCTCAGAGCTCCTGGATGATCGGGAAAAGCTGCTCCTGGAGCTCTGAACTGCAGGTTGGAGGTCGGGCATTTTTAATAATTCCCTCACACTACCTTCAATCTGAAAGCTAAACTAGGTTTACAGCTAAAGTTTTTAACTTTTAGTTAATATAATCACTAGAGAAGTTGCGTTTCCTGCAACAATGCAGTGTGAATTATTGACAAAAGAGTTCTCCTTAATAGCTAAAAAAGCTTAAATGAGCCTAAAATTGCTAATAAAAAAGGTAGCTGAAATTAGCACAAAGAAACAGAACATGTTTGCTGAATTAAGCTGTAAGAAGCTTAAATATTCACAAAAATCAGCTGCAATAAGTTAAAAAGTAGCTAAAGACACAGGAAACAGCTGAAATAAAAAAGTTGAAATTAGCAGATGAATAACAGAAAGGTCATGATAGCCAAAAGAAGCAGGAAAAAAGCTAAAATCAGCTATATAGAAGCCAAATGAAGCTGAAATTAGCAGAAACGAGCTGAAAAAGCACAAAATCAAAAGGTAAAAATAGATTTTTTAACATTTTGAAGGGTTTTAAGGATGTCGARGACATCTCCACTCAGTTTCAACGAGTAAAACAGCCAAAAACAACAACAAAAAAAGCTAAATATCTTAAAAAGCATAAATTTCTGACGTTCTAAAAATCATAGCAGGAATGTCCTAAAGGTTCTGAATGTTTTGATATTTAAATTGTACAAAAATGTGCCGATAAAAATTCTCTCAATATTTGTGAATGCTTTGRTTACATCCCAACTCACATTTATTTTATTGTAGAAAAGAAAAGAAAAAAGAAAGTATTGAGCATATAAAGCTAAATCATTTCGCAGAAAGTGCAACAACTGTTTGTGTACAAACTTAAAAGTGTTACCATTTTATTGTGTGGAGACAAAAACATCACACAAAGATACAAAACAGCTGTTAAAATACAAATTTCCAGCAGTGAAACCTCTTCATTTTCACAATTTTACAGGTTTTTATTTGTACAATCTTTAGTAATGTTTACTTTATTTGATCAATTTATTAAAGGGATCATTTTATTCTCTCTCATATTAATTAATTGCCTGTATATTATTAATTTAATTCACGGTTTTACCTGGAGTTAAAGAGGCATTTTACTGACATTATCAGGTGCTCTTGTACTTTGAACTGAGCTCACCTGCCTAATCCAATCAAAAACTTATCCCACAGTTATACACTGATTGTTATAAAACTTATAAAATCTTTTCCACTTCTTTTCTCTTGATCAGTTTGGGACGAGCTGCTACTTCAGGGACCATAAATTTGTTTCAGGAAAACACAAAGCTCCCCAGGAAAATAAACAACTTACCGCTGGCAGAGCTGCCCCAGAGAACCGCTGCAGTGAGGAGAAAAACCTCCAAACAGCCCGAGTTTGACATCTTTTTTTCCTCTCCTTCAACACAACAACGAGTTTAAAGAACAGGATCCAGCGCGGATTAAACGCAACATCACCAACAAGTGGCTCCAAACCAGTCGGTGTGAAGTTGTTGACCGCGGGGCTGCAGGAATAAACTGGGGAGGAGAAGTTTTTACTGGTTCAGGACGTCAGAGGAGGGATCCCGTGGAGGCGGGACCGAGCTGAGCCTGAACGCAACACTCACATCAAACCAGTATAAACCTCCTAAAGCTTCGTTCGTTTTTTTTTATTAGCTGTATGACGTTTTTTTTCTCCTGTTTTTATTGTTTTTTTTTAACGATAGAAATACAATAATGAACCTATGTGTGTATTTAGTGAGCACATGTCAGCCCAGGTCCGCCACCACCTGGTCAAACTCTGAAGGACCATTCAAACACACGTTGACTTTTCATCCAAATAATCTCTACTTTTATTGTGAAATTTCAATTAAAGGGTAGTTCAGCTCTTTGAAGTGGGAATGGTGGCAGTTTTACAAAAGGAGACCCATTAATAAACAGTTAGTGATGTATTAATTAAGCTGTAAGGACTGTTTGTTTCCAGAGTCAAATCAATCTCTAACAGCATAAAGATTTGGCTCAAAGGAGACATGTCATGCTTTTAAATCATTCTTTTTCCTGTTTAAATCCAGTGGTGGCCACAGTTCCCCCAATACACTAATTTTCTCATTAGTGCTTTTTGGGTTTTGCTATTTCTTAACTCATTAGTGGATTAGCGCTTGTTCAATTTATGGGCTGAATTTAGAAGCACTAACTGAGGTCTTTAAATGTTATTGACCAGGGGTGTCACTAGGTTTTAAGGACAAGGGGGGCTTAGAGCCCAGGAGACGCTTTTTGTATATTATATATTTGTATTGTGTGTGTGTGTGTGTGTGTGTGTGTGTGTGTGTGTGTGT